CGTACGTACAGGTTATTTCTTGGATTACCCTGTATGTACGTGTGACTGGTTTACCGTACGTACAGGTTATTTCTTATACCCTGTATTTAATTTAATTTATCTTTTTACTTTTTTTTCTTCCTAATTCTTCTTTCCTTTAATCTTTAACTGAACTGGTTAACTCAAAATATAAAGATGGTCCATTTCCTCAACGTGGGCCACATGACCCCAAAAGAACGTACTGTCTCGTACACTTTCAGTCTGAGCTACGCTGAAATAAACAAAGGGACCAATGAACCGTGTTCTCTGGTCAGATGAGACTAAACCCTGAGGTCGGACCTTGTGTAGCCAGAACTGTCTACTCTTCAAGATGTGATGAGATTAGATCACAGAAAGCATGGCTGAGATTATTAACACATGAGTTCACATATCCTCCTCAGCTTCATGATCTGGGGTCTGAACACACACACTGATGTATTCTTGGTGCTAGCTGTAGCTAAAGTGTGTACGCAGAGACCGTCTCCATCTGACCTGAAGCCCTGTTGGTGAAACACCTACCGAGGTCGAACACTCTGTTGCTATATTTTCACTGAGTTCCTCTGCTTTAAACCATTGAACCAATCACAACCTGACATTTGATTGTACGTTGCTGCTTTATTGTGAATGACGGGATGGCAGGAAAATGGCTTTTTCTTGATGGAGTGAGCGACCTACGGCTGATGGGATTTTTGGGATAAATAGAACAGGGAAGTTAATCAGGTGTCAGCCCATGTTGAAATACGGAAACACAAATAACAGCTCACCTTACGTATCTCCTTTGTTACTGTTACTGTTAGGTTACTTTGTTACCTAAGACACTGCAGCTCTTGTGTGTCTTCTGCGTCGTCGGCTACTGAATATAAATGCTGAATTCTGCACAGTGCAGCAGTCATACAGCCAAGAAAATGCCACTGAGACCCACACACCAAAGGTTAACCTGTCGGCATCTCTAAACAAGGGTGTGTGGCTCAGATGGTGACAGCCTTTGATTTTCTTGAACACCGCAGGGATTCAGGCTTTAATGTCCCGCGTAACGAGACTCAACCGCCAAGATGTAGGCAGAGTCTGATATTATGTTTCTTACTGTGGTCTTAGATGATGGAGAGTGGAAGTACTGCAGTCTTAGAGCTGATATTTATTCACATTTTTGGTTGACATTTTTATTCTTTTTTCTCTCTCCATCAGGTAAGAAAAATGTCCTTCACTCGCAAGGGCTATTAGTCAAGGTTAACACTAGGGTGAGATGCACTATTGATGGACTTCAGCTTGTGTTTAAAATGCAAAGTGTACATGCCCACACCACAAACTGTGTGGTCGTGCATAATAATGTGGACGTCTAAATGTCCCACGTGGAAACACCCCACACGGTCCAAATGAACAACACAGACTTTTAAATAAACAGAATGCAGATCAAATGCATCTGAGCTGTGCAGCTAATCATGAAATATTGAAATATAAATCACCAACACGCCAGTGTTTGTCAAATCAAATCAAAAGAGACCAAATGAGTTGAAACGCAATTGGGTTTTGTTTGACAGATTTGTTTCATTACAGACAAATGCTGCGTCGCGTGTTTTAATTGTTGATTTACGTCAACAGTTGCTGTAAAATCTGTTAATCTGCTGAGGGGCAGAGACTGGTGAATCGATTCCATGTATCGATATACTGATACTCACACAAGTAATCGGTTGAGTATCGATACTCGTGTGAGTACTCGTGTAACTCCTCCCTGGGAGCCTGGGAGCCTGGGGGCCAAACCTGGCCCACAGTGTGATTATTATTATCAAATGTGTACTAGAGTTGGCCCACCAGTATGTAGCCACTATATACTGGAAGGATTTGTAGTATTAGCAGGTGTATGCGCTATGTTGTAGCACATACATTTTGTTTTTATATTTTATATTATTATAAAAGAACTGGAAAGGCTACAGATAAAGAGACGTAATAAGGAACAAACTCCACTGATGTGTGTCTTATTTCAAAACATCTCAGAACTTTGCATTTCTGCAGATAAACTGTGGCAGGAAGGTTAATGAGGAGCCACTTCCACTCCCTGCGTCTCCCCCTCTGCCTGCTTTAATCTGCATCAGTGACACGACACGCTAACGTTCACAGGTGTGACATGTCCCGCCGTCTCCCAGCTGATTGGCTCACCGTGAAGTCATGACACAAACTAAAACAAACGCAGCACAAATCAAATACACTTCTGTCCTACAGCCTTCCTGTACAGCGATGATTAACCTCGTCACTGTACATGGGAGATTTTATTAGGGAAACTGACTCGATGAAGGCTTGTTTATGTTGCTATGGTGATCTCTTTAAGATAGTCTTTGACTTGGCAGCCAAGGTCCACGTCTGCTGCTGTAAATGGTCTTTATTACAAACCTCCTTTAATGAAAATAAATAAACTTTCCGATATGCAGTAAAAACAAACACGTGCAGTAACGTGGGTATGGATTCCAGGCTCATTTTAACAAGCAGAAACACAAGGAAACGACTCTCACTGTGTTCACCCACCGACCTCATTTCATTTGTAGTTCTGCAATGACGAGCGAAGCAACTCATCAATACCTCATTTCATTTGTAGTTCTGCAATGTCATGACGAGCGAAGCAGCTCATCAATAACGCTTACATTTATTTAAGAACTGGAAAGGCTTCAAACTCAAGGCCCGTGGGCCGAATGTGGCCCACCACATCATTTTACGTGGCCCACCATCTAAAGCTGTCGATACTCATAGTGGCTCCATGGTGTAACACATCTGCCTTACAAGCAGAGGGTCGTCAGTGTGAGCCCCAGAGGAACCACACATCCCTAATAGTGCATCCCTTGTGGCAGCTTTTCTTTGGCAAAATGTTGAAGTCCTAATAGATCTTTGCAGATGATCAGTGATTTGAAGCTGAATGAACACAGATTCACAATATTGCCCTGTATTAAAAGCTGACTCCTAGTTCACAGATTTCTGGGCTAATCATTGAAAATACACCAAGTGAAGTCAAAAAAAGATGAAAATTTCATGTGAGGTAGAATTTGAAGTCCTTTCATGTCTATGTCAGACCAAATGTTGCTCAGCCACGTCTGAAAAAGCCCCTCACAGCAAGCGTGAGGAGCAACTGTGAATGTCTTTGATATGACTTTAAAAACTGTTTACCCCAAACAGTGTACATACTTAAAAAGAAGGAGGAGGAAAAGGTCTGTAGATGTAGACTGTAGATGGTTGAAAAGCAAAATAACATTTCAACATTTTCTCCTCTGCAGATAACAGCTTCCCCTGTTATTGACTAACACTGTTATTATTGCAACGTGAATATTCTCTGCTTCTTCACATCTGCTCACAAAAGGCAAAAGGCTCCAATATTTACCTGTTGCTAATGCACTGCAATAACTAACACAGATTCAAACACATGTATGAATATAGGTGTATTTGCTGTGGATGTGTGGGCTCAGGTAAATGACACGCTGCTGGCGTACACATGAGAGAGAAGTCATGTTCTGATAGAAGTACCTGTTAATTCAATCGCTCTCTCTACATGGATCACTGTTAACCACCAGCTGGCCATATTATCACCGGCGCCTCGGCTCATTCTCTGAACTGAGCGTCATTTCGACCTGCACCAGACGACAGTGGTTACATGTAATAACTCAGGCTAAACACAACCTATGAACCCTAGTCTGGATGAGACAGATCAGAGCTGTGGCTCTGTAAGGACCTTGTAGAGAAGAAATATGTTGGTAATGATTTTTGCAAATCTGAATCTCACTCGTTGACATTTCCGAGCTAAATAGTAGCTCCGTGTCCTCCATATTTTTAGCGAGCTCCCAAAATATTAATGAGCTGTGTTTTAGTAGCTCAGCCCTAAGGACTCGCAGCAGATAAAACATCAGGGTTGGAGACGGGCAGGAATTGGATTTTTTGAACTTGTATAACCAGAGTTTTCTGAAACCCGTTTGGTAAACAAGATGCAATGTTCATATAAATGTCGTGACCATTTGCTAACTGTTTAAAAATGCTAGCAAATGAACAACACATACGTCATATGACTTGAATCTATGCTGTTAGCGAAGCTCAGCAGTGTCACGTTACATGTTTGTATTAATTTACAGCACAGATCCACTTGTTTGCTCCTGAGGCGGACGGGGGGGGGGGGGGGGGTTTTTACAAC